AAAAAAAAAAAAGTATTTTCAGACTCACCTGTACTAAAAGACCTTTGCCAGTACGGCTGTCTCGCTGACACCTCTGGCTGCGCAGGGCTGCGGGGAGCTGGTGACCAGCCCTGTTGCAGCATTGCTGGTGGCCCCGGGGGGCTGCAGTGGGGTCCTGAGCCGTGGGGGAGCCCCAGGGGAGAGGCTGGGGTCAGTCTGACCCATGGGTGCCCTCAGGCCCAAACACTTGCTGGGTGTTTTAAGCTTCAAGGGACTCCAGCAGGTTCCCCGGTGCCTATTTAGGGCACCCCTGTGAAGATTTAAAAGTCTAACTTTAGGTACTGGAGCGTGAATATTTCAGAACAAATATCTAAAAATGAAACGTTTACACTTAACCTATTTTACAGGTCTACAGCGGTCTGCATACATTCATTATTTTCTACCCATGGGGAAACAAACATTTCTCTGCAAACATTCAGAATGTTTTCCTGTGTATAATTTTACTTTTCCTTTATTTTGGCCTTTTAATTTAATTACTGAAGTGTTTAAGGGCCATCCCTCTCCACTCGGCTTCACCCTTCACTCTGGTTAGGCGGGTATGGCTGGGGAGCAGAGCCGTGGGGCGGAACCACCATTTCTTGACTTAAGCCCCAGGCAGGGTTTGTTTCCCCAGTCCTTCTCTTCCTTGTGCAGCTGTCAGTGAATTCCTGTTTTAAATGAAAATGCATTCATGAGTCTCCCCAGAATTACAATGTTTATGCAAAGACTTAATACATTTTTAAACAGCTATTGAAAAATCCAGCTCAACCATTTTTATGTGTTTTTTTTCTTCTTTCTCCAGCCGTTCACAGAAAAAAATGCAGTTGGTTTCAAATATCTCATTTTTTGCCATGTTTGTGATGTACTTTATGACTGCCATATTTGGCTATTTGACTTTCTACGGTAAGTATGCAGTTCTTTACTGATCAAAGTAGAAAGGGAATACATGTGAAATCAATAGCGTATCCCAGCTGGAAAGGAAAGTCCCATTCACTTATATTGAAATACTTTTTCAAATCATTTTCCTTAAAGTTTTCATATTAAAGCTACAAATCCTTTCCTCCTTTTCCCTTATGGATGAAAAAAGCACAAGGGAAAGTAGCATTTGCAAAAGGCATATTCAAAATATGAGAGAAGAGATTTAACACAATTGGGGATAGCTGGGCCCCACTAAGATTTTCATTCCAAGGTCCTCGCCTGAATGTTGTGTACGTGGGTAATGACTGAAGCACGCATATCTGCATAAAATGAGATGATTTGAGAGCAGGTCCTAGGAAATGAGTATCAAATCAGCTGTCACAACTTTTTCATTTTCTTATTGATGCTTTCATCATAGAGGCGAAGGACCAGATGTTTTCCCTGTGTCTCTAGAGCTGACCCCTTCAGGTCCTGGTTAAATAAACCGGCAGTGAAGGTGGGGAAGCTCTGAGTGTTGTCCCAGCTCAGCTGCCAAAGGATGGTTGTTTCAGTGTTTGAAACTTGCACCCTGTCTCTTTTCATGCATATCGGTTCACTTAAAGAAACAAACCAATTGTGTTGTATCACTAAAGGATGCAACATGTATGCTCTAAAGGTGCAATTATTAAGTAAAGCAGGATAAAATACGAATGTTGCCCAGGAAGCTACTCCCACGTCCCAGTATAATTGGAATGCTGAAAACTAGTGTTTTTTTCCATGGACCATTAAGGGGTTACAAGGCAGATGACAAAACTGATGTTTGCCTCTTACCTCAGAGTCACCCAAAGGTCACCAGTCTCCTCCACCCGATTCCAAGTGACCTTTTTGTTACAATCTCCTCATTCATGATACTGTTCCTTGTGAGCCACGTATCGCAAGAGAAAGAAAATAAGTAAATATGAAATGTGGCATTTTTTTTTTTCCTCAAAAGTTTACCTATCTCGTATTTGTTTCCTCAGGCTCTCATTCTGATTATGAGGCCTTGAGTTTGCATGCGTTGAAGCAATGTGAGGTCATCTGTTCTAATTCTCCCAATAAAACCGCAAATACGCTGCAAGTGACAACAGCAACAGCCGTTCTCATCCAACTGCTCCTGTCTAACACATTTTCGTAGAAATGCATCAAATTAGCAGCCCCAGGGAGCAAGTGGGTGTAAATCAGCACGGACCCCTTCGCTTTGGCAGGGAGGAGATTCTGATGTGATTGCCCCAGGGATCTGAGGAGGCAGATCCGTGGCGCTCCTCTCTGGGAATCTCCCACACCCCTCAAGGACGAGGGTCTGGAGTCCATGGAGGAGGTAGGGGCTGCGTCCTTCTGGCCCTCCCGAGGGGGAACGGCGGAGGAAATCCCTGGGGTGTCTCATGTGCCTCTCTCCCATGCCAGGCGTCCCTGCTCCCCGCACTGAGAGCCCACGGGTGGAAGCTGTGCGGCTCCGCGGGGGCTTCTGCAGGGGTCAGTGCCATGACGGGCAGCAAAAAAGACCCTGAGGGAATATAAAATTCCTCTGCTTTGATCCTTCTTCCCCTTGAGACTGACAAGACCTTACCCTTCAAATGCTCGCTTACAGTTTTCTAACCTCTTCTCTACCCTTACCTGGGTAAGAACAGCGTTTTTCTTATGGCCATTTTTTCTTTACACCAAAAGTACTTGTCTGTTTGCTGTGTTCTCCAAAGTGTTGCAGTGATGACTATATTTACATTGCAGAATTACAGAAAAGAGGTGTTTTTCTTCCCCTAAAAGGTCACACTGTGGTTGGGCTCTGTGGTGTATCTAGCTGAAAGGAAAACAGACCTTCAACTGTAAGCCTTGCCCTTCACTTCCTACCTGGCTGCAGTCCGTGAGCGGTACAGAAGTTGCAGTCTGTGCTTGCAGGAGCAGAGTAAGCTCTGTGTCGCAGAAGCTGTGCATGTGCCCGGCTTGAAAACCCCTCTCCTAATCTGCAGGGAGGTGGGAGAGCATTTTCTTTCTCCTGGTGGGGATTGAAGCACTGCATAGGTGGTCTCTCCCCAGAGAGTCCTGGGGAGAGTGCAGGCTTTTTGCTGCAGGACAGATCCCTCTGCCTCCGGGAATACGTGAGGTTTTACCAAGTGCCAAAGATTTTAAACTAGATGTGGCTGCCGAGTTCCCTTTAAGGACTTCAGTTTAAGAGCTGTTACGTTTTACCATCAGCTTTCTAAGATTAGCAGCAGAAACAAAACATGAGCCTAAAAAGGGGCAGCGAGTATGTTTCTGTAGCGCTTAACAGCTGCCCCCTTAGATCGTTGCTCCTAGATGTTTAAAAGTTAACAAAGCAGACATGTAGGTCCCTCAGCAGCTTGGTTTTCCTGTTGGTTAGCACATGCAGACACGCTCTGCGCTATTTATCACAGCTTCAAGGAAACATTATTGCAGGAGGTTGTATTAAAATATCGCCAGCACCTCCCCATTAAGCCCCCCCCACCCCGTGATTTGTCTTGGCTGCTGGGGCCACCAGCCGAGCCACAGGCACTGCTGGGGAGGTGGCAGGTTCAAGAGAAAAAAAAACATCAGGGCAACCCTCGGAGGAGCTGCCGAGGGATTTGAGGGCAAATGTCAGAGTGTCCCACTGAGAGCTGACCCAAGATAGGCTTTGTTCTTGGTTGAGAACAGGGGCACTGCTTTTCGCTGGAAGTTTATTTGCTCTTTAGACTAATTTAGCTCAAAACCTTGTAGTTTATATTAAGCTCAGCCGTTGCAGTGCATGTGGTTATTTTTATATCATTTGAAACTTAAAAAAAAAAAAAAAAAGCCCGTGGAACCAACTAGAAATAGCTTATTTCACTTTACTTATTTTTTTATATATGTATATACGTAAGCAAGCTTTCGTGTATGTCTCACTGTTGTCTTTCCTACAGTGAAAACTACCTTAGACTTAGGCATGTGCTGTCTTGAATTAGGATGCATTCCTAAATCAGGCCTCCAAAGGATTAATCTGGAATCATGGGATCATTGAGATTCGGTTCAAAGTGCCGTTTTAACTCAAGAATGTTTCATTCCATACTCTTTTGTTTGCAGATAAATCACTTGTTGTTCAAGAAGGTTGTTGTTAAGCAATGATTTTTGTGAACGAGCTGCCTGTCTGCCAGAACACTTATCTTACTGTCCTTTCCGTAGACGATGTGCAGTCAGATCTGCTTCACAAGTACCAGAGCAAAGATGACATCCTCATCCTGACCGTGCGCTTGGCCGTGATCGTTGCAGTGATACTCACGGTGCCGGTGCTGTTTTTCACTGTGAGTAAAAAGCTCCACACGATTTGGAAGTCATTAACAGCTGCACAGGGCACATTCCTTCAAACCACGGTCAAGCAGTTGCCGAGACAGTGATGTTGCAGCTACTAAAAGAGCTTGAGCTTGGATCAGACTTTTCCCACACTAGACTCCCACTAACTTCTGGAGGAGTTCTCCCTGCAGGAAATAAATTAACTGCTTTTGGTCTTAAATCTATTTTAAATTGAATCCACAAGGGCCCTCTCTTACTTCACACAACTTCAATGGAACAGGCCTAGAGGTGAAGTTCATGTTTAAATGCAGAAGGACCCCAAAAGGCATGTCAGAAAGGGAGGAATATCCTGCTACGGATGCATGTATACCTACAGTTTTGAAATATCAAATTAATTTTGAGGATTATTTCAAAGGGCATTACATCAGAGACCCCAAAGTTTGTAACGTATATATGCAACACTTGTCGCGTGAAGAACTGTTTGAAAATAAACATGAGAAGCTTTGAATTGGCTTATGGACTGTTCCTGACAGAGAATTCTCTCTCTTTCTACAGGTGCGTTCATCGTTATTTGAACTGGCTAGGAAAACAAAATTTGACTTATGTCGTCACGTTTTGGTTACTTTTGTTCTTTTGGTTATCATCAACCTGTTAGTCATTTTTATCCCCACCATGAAGGATATTTTCGGAGTCGTAGGTACAGTATGCTGGTTTTGTACTACTAATAAAAGACTGTTGCTAATCTGCAACACAATAATTATCTGTTGCCAACAACTAACAAAACTCATTTATTTGAATTTTGCAGGGGTCACATCTGCTAATATGCTGATTTTCATTCTACCTTCCTCATTGTATTTAAAAATTACACAGCAGGATGGATCAAAATTGACTCAGAGGATTTGGGTATGCATTCGTTTCTTGTCAAAGCAACACTTTCGATTTGTCATTCCTTATAATATCCTGAATGCAAAGCATACCTAATCTGAACATGTGTGTGACCTTCTTTACGTTACTTTCCCTCCTTCAGTCAGCCAGCAGCCATGCTTGCCTTTCTTCTTTGCTTACCCCAGGGGTCTTCTGGTGTTCTGGGGGACCCTTCTCTGCGAGGCGAGGGGCTATTCTGCGGGCTGTTGAGCCTTAGCTCTGCAGTGGCTGTAGCTGTCGAGAGGGTGCAGGTACTCCTCCAGCTCCCTTCGGCAGCCCTTTCAGCCCAGCAAGCTTCCTCTGTTTCAGCGTGTTGATTCAGAAAGCGTGCAAAGCACTCCGTTTGCCTTTTTCCCCATGGTTTTAAGGGATATGAGTCAGACTTGGGGTGCTTGCACCAGAAGCAGCCAGATGAAATGTTAGTCCTGCATGGGCAGGTGGGACTGGGCCTTGGCAAGGTTTCCTGTGAGTCCCAGAAAGAGCTGCAGCAGAAAAGACACAACACTCCTCTGCATTCCCAGTCTAATGGGGCAGGACCTTCCTGCTCTGAGCAGACGGGGGGGGAAACCGTGTTTCACCTGTGGCTCCATCCACAGACCCCAAGACCAAAGGGCTGAACTTCAATGGACACGTGTCCAGTGGGAAAAGTATACTTATTCCCATAAGACTTTGAAAAGGGCACAGCCAATCAGTCCTAGACTCTAGTCCAATAGACTCTCTTAATCCTCTTTAGGGATGATCGGTGTTTAAGAAGTGAATAGAAGGGGAAAAAAAAATGGTTTTGGTGTTCAGCGAGTAATTATTAATGACTCTAATCTGTTTAATTATCTATGGGTCTTGTCTTTACCAGAAGTGCTATCCTATTTTAGCTGATAACTTTGATACGTCATCCTGTAAATCTCCTTAAGAGGAGAAGTCAATATGTTTGAATTAATTGTCTTTTCTTTTTATTCATTAATTTTCTCTCCTTTTTGTTCCAGGCTTCTCTTTTCTTGGCACTGGGGATAATGTTTTCCTTAGTGAGCATTCCCTTGGTCATCTATGACTGGGTACAATCGGGAGGCAGTGCCGAAGGCCACTGAAGTTCACCTCCTCCTGAAGACACTCCTGTTTGCTACACACCAAAATCGCAGCCATCCGTTCTGTTATCTATTCCATCTTTTGTGAGTTAACTCAAATCAAATCCAAATAATGATTATCCAGTACTGAAAATACTGTTATGGGTGTATTTTCTTGCAGAAAACAGACCCATTTTTCCAAAAGGCATATCACTCTGTCCCCCAGTACTGAGTTATCAGATCAGCCTAAAGTCTGTGTTAATTGTAAGACTATATAGAGCATTGCTCATAGGAATCAATCACAACTAATTTGTTTCCCCTCTTCCACCCATGAATTGCATTGTTCTGTTATTGTCCTTAGCCTGTCAACCATAAGCCCTGCTCCTTCAGGGCAGCAATGCCTGTTGTTATCAGTCCCAACTGGAGTGATGTCAATTCACACCCTTTCCCCCCACCTTTTAGCCAAAACTCTGCTCTCCAATCGTACATATCTGGTTTGTTGGTTGGTTTGTCTGTTCTGTTGCTGTTTCGTGCACCATTTGCCTCACTGGGTTAAGCGTAGCATTCTGGATACAGGCACGAAAGGCACCCTGAAAGCGTAAATGAGCATTGTATAAGTCTAGGTCCTAAATCTTTGCTTCTCCCTGGTGTTCTGGTGGGGGAGCCAGCTCCAGGGCTTAGCCCTTTGGTGGCTTTGGGGAACAGACCTGTGTACCTGTGTGTCTTTGTGATGGGGTGCGGGGAGCAGGAGAAGGACAGCCACCACCACCAGCCACCGTTCCCCTGGTGCGCTTCAGCTGGAGCCTGACCAGAACTATCTTGACCCCAAGCCATGAGTACTCGAGCCTGAAGAGGAGCAGATGCACAGAGATTCCTGTAGGAAGTCTGCATTTTCTTCAGCATTAAACTGTTTACTAATACCCCACTTCTCTCAGAAAAAAAAAAAAAAAAAAACAAGCTCCAGTTCTATCAAAACCTACGCATTTAATCATACCTCATGCCTTTTGCGTTCTGGGATTCATTTGTACATACCTTGTAGAGACTGGCTCTTCTGTTGTGTCTTTAAGGTCCCTTCCAACCCAAACCATTCTATAATTATCCTCCTCCCACTGAAGTCAGTGGGGTTTTGACAGCAGTGGGAGCAGGATTTGACTCACCCTGCCAAACTACTGGATTTCTAATAGAATTGAAATCTGTAACATTTCTTTAAACAAACAAAAACACTTTTTATATTTCAAATGTTTCATTTACATTTCTCATCAATTCTCCATAACAATTAAAGAAAAGACATTCAAATACTACTAGCAGAAACACTGTAACTTGCATCTGTTGTCCACAAAATAACCATCTGCCTAATGCCTTATAGCTGGTGTAGAGAGCTACTTGTAGATACTTAAATGCTGAGCAGGTGATTGTTGACCATCCCGAGCAGACATCTTCTATTAGTGCACTGCCAGCAGCATAAACGCATTCACTTTGTGTCATTCACCATGTGAGCTAAAAAGTGTCTCAAAACATGAACCCAGCTCCCACTGAAAGCACCGATGGCTGAAGGGAGCCCCGCTTCACCACCGAGGGCTGAGCGATGCCCTCGGTGCGCTCGAGCCGTACCCATCGGTATGCGGTGACCCTCTTGTTCCCAGTAGCTGGTTCATTGCCCATTCCTGTTGTAACTGTGGAAGGGGACTGTCATCAGCTGTGGGGAACCCGTCATTGCAGCTTGCTCTTTTTAAGGTTAAGGATGGCGAATTCCTTGGATCTTGGGATTTCTGTGAGCTCTTGAATTGCCTCAGTTGCCGTTGCCTTGTCCTACAAGGCTAGAAGTCACTGAGAATTGAGAACGCAGAGCACTTCTCAGGACCCTGAAAGACGGTTTCTGAGGGTAACATCCAGAGAAGTTAGCTTGGGGCCTTCCTTGGAATTTGGGCATTGAGATGCAGAGCGTTCAAGCTGCAGAAACTAAACCTACTAAACCTGAACTTCTAGGTCTGTACCTCAGCCTAGGCAGTGAGGTACCCAGCTCCAACAATACTCCACTGTGACCCAGAAATAAGGCAGAGTAGATTCCACAGGCTTCCCAAGTCCTTGGAGTAGCCCAGCAGCAAGAACAAATCTGGAAGCCTCTTCCCTGTGGGCAAAGTGACCTGCTAGACTGCAGTGCGGGGTTCCCTTAGTCTGTCCTCCTCCTAGCCCCTCAGACCTTCACTCACAGGCTCCCAGCAAGGTCTCTGGTGCAATATCCTTCCTTCCAAGCAGCCCGCAGCCCAGCATTTAACACACGAACTGCTAAGCTACCTGGGACCCCCAGGCTGAGGTCACTCATGCTTTCACACTGCTGGTCTCAAGCACTCACCTGCGATGGTGCAGGTCACTGCACTGTCTGTTTATGGGACTAATCCCTGTCCTTATTCACAAAGAGGTCCACGCCATAGCCTACAAGCCCAGGTGTTAGTCAAGCTCTGGATAGAGAATCTATGCTTGTTTCCTGTCTCCTTGCAGCTCATTCCAGGCCTCTTCCCAGTTCAGAGTGTAAGTTCGTGGCTCCCCTTTTGCAGGCACCCAACTCTCCCTGGTCACTGCAGCATGAGCTCAGCATCTCACTCGGACTCAGCTTGCTGGGGTCCCATTTCAGGTTTTGAGGTGCCTTACAATCTCTCTGGATCTTATCCCAAAAAACCTAACTCAGACCTGAGAATGCTGTACAGTGCTATCCTCCAGATGCTCCAGGGCTCTCCTGCTTTCCTGCCCCCTCTATCCTTCTACTACTGATTTAAGAGCAGTGCAGTTCTGTGTATCGGGGGGTTGTGAGAGAGGAGATCCTGGGAGTGACTTTCAAATACCCAGGTAGGAGCTAGAGGTCTGATCTGCTGCACAGGGTCCCAGCAAGGTCACAACTGCAACATCTCCCTCCCACCCACCTCCCATATAGTCTGTAGTCTCATGTTTGAAATTCCAACCATTGAGTTTTGGCACCCAGCTTTAAGGGCTGTTGGGTGACTGACTGCTCCTTGCATCTTCCTAAATCTCCTCCATCACTATCCTTCTCTCTTTGCTGTTCTGCCGCCTTCTTTTTCCCAGTTTATTTGTATACTGGAGTTTTACTGAATAAATAGGGAGAAGAATGAGCTGGGTGTGTGCATAGAGTGAAATTACCCAAGGTACTGGACCATCAAAGAGTATCTTAGATACTGAAAGATAGATATCCAAAATATTGAGTCTTTAAACAGACTTTGTTTCTGGGTCTCTGAAAAAAAAAAAAGAGGGAATTTTGCTTAAACTGAGTTACTGGCATCATATTTATAGATATTTATGGAAAGGAATCATGTGTTTATTGATGTCTGTGGTAATGAACGTGAAATAACGTGCTTTTTGTTTTCTCATCAGGTTTATACATTCTTAACAGAATGCAATAGACCCTGCTGTAACTGTCAACATCAGTGATGGATGACAATATTTGTATGAGGTTATCTGTAAAATGTACTGCTGTTATTCAGTTCATTTGGAATAGTGAACTTGTAGCCAATGATGTACGAGTCCCACATTTTAGCTAGGATTTTAAGAGCACAGTGAAATGCTGTAGGAGTTTCTCTGTTGTTAAATTAATAGGATCCAGAGTACCGTATCTACTTAGTAGGTGGTAGCATGCTTTCTTTTCACAGAGAGTTTATCACTATTGTGAGCACTGCAAATGTCATAGACTGGATGCAAAAATTGCTCCTAATAACTACAACAAAATACTTTAATGTTCTTGTTTGCGTCATAGCAACGACTGAGTGGTGAGGGACAAGGAAAGACTAATCGGAAGCAGGGGCTCCTGATAAGATCGTAGGAGTTAATCCTACACTTAAAAAAGGCGGCCTTGCTGCCTCTCCTAGTCCACAGCACATTGCAAAGAAAATAGTCGTGAGCTTAAGGCACCCTTATGGTTGCAGAATACAGAATACAGCTGCCCTTCTCTGTCCGATGGCAAACATGCCTAGTAAGTAAAACACAGTAAACTGTTTTTTGGGAACAGTATCTCAGGAGCAGTGACCTCTCTGGGTGATGCTTGCTCCTGGTCAGAGGGCCAATGCCAAATCCGTGCACCTTTTGTCAGGCTGAAATGGAGCAAGTGGTGCCCGGCCTGGGGCAGAACGGCCGCTCTCACCCTGGGAGGCCAGGGATGCCCATTCGCTCCCGAGGGCTGCTTTCCTGAGCCACACACTGACCCATAGCTTGTGCTCCACTCGCAATAGGTCACACGTGCGAGCGCGGGTTGGACGATATATGGGTTGTGTCTGTACATCTGCCTTACAATGCATAAGCACCAGAGCTCTCTCTGATAGTGTTAACAGTAGCAATTGTTGGTATCTCTAGCTTATCTTTAAATGAATACGGTCCTTTGCTTGAACCTTACATTAAGGCTAAAGAGCATTTTGGTCAAAACAAAACTCTTTCCATGTGGTGGTGTGCCTCTCCAGTCCTATCGTCCCACCCCGGTGCCTGTAGGAGAAAGGCACAGCAGAATGTACTCGGCTCCATCAGCAACTCCACGAGATGGCTTTATCGCCTGGCGCTGGGGCACTTGCTTAAGCAATTCCCCCGAGCCCTTGGCGTCAGGAAAATCCTTATTTCCTATAACTCACACAAAGAATGTTTTATTTGTATCTAATGTTAGGATTTCTGTAACAAACTGTGAAAAAAAAAAGATAATGAATTAATAAAAAGTACAGGGCTGGAAAGGTCTAGAATTCACAAATTGTACACATGCCTATGTTCCTGTAGACAAATCTATGCAGTTGTGTTGTATTGTAGGAAATTTCATTTTTATGTACATATATATATTGTAAATAAATAGGATGCTGTATATTTTTGCAGTTGTTTACCCCTACGATATAGAAGTGTTGAGATAGGCTCTGCATATTAAGAATGATTTTAATAGAAATACAAATACTTTAGCTTCTGACTTAGCAAAATCTATATCCTTTCCTTTCTCCCAAGAGTTCACAAGTTAAATCCTAAAATTGAAATTACAATTACACTGCTAATGTAACAAGAAAAAGAGAAAAAAAAGGTCCAATGAAATCACTAAGATTAATTCCAGCACGTATCTCCCCGTTTTCTCGACAGCAAGTTAGCCAGTCTTCCTGCTGGGTAACATATCTCCCCTCTGAAGGGCCCGTTAGGTACCCAGGTACCTGCTACCTCCTCGTCTGAGGTCAGGCAGTTGTGAAGCGCTGAAAAAGCCTTATGCAGAAACCGGAGCAAACTGCAGCCAGCCATTTGGCCCAGCATTATGCCATGTTGTACC